TGGTCGATGGTGGTGGAAAGGTTGGGGCTGGTGGTGGGAATGCTCTTGCGTTGTTTAGGGTGTTTTATGGTAGTTTATGGGTGGTTGAGAGTGGCGGGCGGTGGTGGTGGGGGAGGTGGTTGATGGTGGTGGGGGTGGTGGTTAATGATGGGGGTGGTGGGAATGTCCTTGCGTTGTTTAGGGTGTTTTGCATTGCATAGGGGTGGTCGAGAGTGGCGGCCGGTGGTGGTGGGGGAGGTGGTTGATGGTGGTGGATGGTGGTGGGGGTGGTGGTTCATGGTGGGGCTGAGCTGATGCTGCTGGGTGAGGGTTATGTGTAGGGGCAGCAGCAGATTGCAGAAACTGCTGCTGATGTAGTGTAGCAGATGCTGCTGGTTATGCAGTCTAGCAGAAAAACGCTGCCTGAGGCATTGTTTTATGCTTCAACATAAAACGCTGCCTCAGGCAGCGTTTTAAAGCCCATATACATATTCCAGTATAATTTGGCAAAATATACTAGTATATTTTGCCAAAATACATACCAACAGGTCAACAAGGTAAAACGCTGTCTCGGACAGCGTTTTACTTCTTGAATTTTTTTTTTTTAAAAAACTGGGTGTAAAACGCTGTCCGAGACAGCGTTTCACCCCAGAAGCTTAGTTTGGGAAATACTTTTCCTACGAGACCAATTTGGTAAATAATTTACCAATAAAGCTCAATTTGGGAAAAAATCCAAGAATTTGAGGAAATCATTAATCATGGCCAAAAAAGGTAAAGGTAATTAAACAAGATGTTGCTTCAATAAAATAAAATAAAAAAATAAAAAATAGTTAAACAAGGTGTTATACATGTGCTTGTTAGAATTTCTGATTTTCTAATCCTAAGGAAAATTATTGAAAGGAAGTACAAGCAATTCATTGTGATTTTGTATAAATGTTTAATACATCCTTTTCTTTTTAGTTGCAATACCTTTTTTTTTACGTTTTTAAATTATTACTTTAATCGTTAATATACTTTAATATTTATTTTTAAATAAATTATAAAATTAAAATATTAATACAATACATATTATCGAATTGGACTCAAAATTTAAAATTTAAATTTTAATTCGAATTGAAAGTTAGAGCCGAAACTAAAACCAAACTTTCACCCTATGAAAATCCATGTTATGTAATAGAAGTACTAGAACAACTTAACACTTGTCACATATAACATCATGTCCCTAGGAAAAGCTAACTAAAATCCCTAGGAAAACCACTTAAAAGAAATTTATTAATTGAAGTTTGTTTAGGGAAGTACTATTTAAAACATACTTTTAGATTACTCATGATGAATTATTTTTGTAACTGTCAAGTGAAGACAAATTATGTGTTGTAACATTTTCAAAACCTCTATCTTCAGTTCTTCACCGACCATCTGTAGAAACAAGAAAAGTATTCACATGAAAAAAATTATTACTTCCAAAGTTTCAAGTAAGTAGTTTTATATAGCTCAATTTTATTAATATATTAATTTAATTATAATTATCATTATAGGTTTTTAAGAGGGATTTTATTTTTGATTTTATTCTAATTTTTACGTATTGTAGAAGGTTTTATATATTTTATACATGCGTATGACTTTACATGAATGAATTAATTTAATTCCTTGAAATAATTGTTATGTATTTGACAGTTTTGAATTTTTATGTATATGTAGTAAAGTATTCCTTTTAAACAATTTCAAACTTAGGCTACGTTATCTTCACCCTATAATATAGTGAAATAATTTCAGTTTAGTAAAAATAATTTTATTTCAATAAAATATGTTCAATAAAAATAATTTTTGATCAATAAAATTAATAACTTTAAAAATGAAATATATTATTGGATCAGTAAAAAAAATCCAGTTCAGTAAAAATAATTTCAGTTCAATAAAAATAATTTAAATTCAACCAAATATAATTTCAATTATGACTTGTTATACGCTCGCTCGTTAGCAACCGAAAACTAATATAAACCAGATTATTACCCCCTTTAACTCGTCTACAACCTGGAGTCTTGGACCGGATTAACTCAAATCCTAATTGACCTAATCTAATATGGTCTGACCCAAATCCAGATTTTACTGTCAAATAAATCGATTTAACCGAAACAAATGGTGACTTGCATTGAATTGCCCTAGCCCCTAATGGCCTAATTCGGCTAGCCAAACTAACTCCGTTTATTTCAACTAGAATCAATAAGTATTGGTCCATCAAGGGTCAATCCAACACCAATCCAAGCCCAAATGATCATACTCAAATATGAGAGGGAAATTTTTGGAATAAAAAAGGCAACATAATAACCATATCAATTATTTCTCCTAAATTAACACCACGTCATTGATCCATTAATGTTATCTTTAAAGGGAAAAAAAATACTATATAATATAACTGCTTATAAAAGTGATAATGACAGATAAGATTTAGCTATTATGAAAGTTTATTGGTTAGGAGCTGAGTCATGACCAGAGAAAATTTGATATCTTGGGCCACTCAATCATTATTAGGGTAGAAGGAAAACGTGAATAGGCATTTTCCATACTGGTAAATTAAGTGATTGGGTTAGTTATAAAGACAAGAACAGTAAGAGCCAGTTAAGCTAAAGAAGCATTACTCAAGTTTAATTCACAAATATAATTTATAATAAATAATTCGAATAAGTGTGGTTAAGTCAACAAAGTTAGATGAGTATGAAAGCTAATAAGTTTAGATAATGATTTATCAAGTGAATAGAATTGAAAATTAATCTTTAAATGCAAAAATCATCAATAATTTACTCTTTAACTAGTATGGAGTATTTGGAAAGAATTTCTACATTTGGACAATAAAAAAATATTGTCGTTGAATAGCAAACTGGTTTCCTAAACAGAAACAGATGGAGGGAGTTGTCTTATATGGGACCCACTAACCAACAGTTGAGAAAACTCTCAAATTTACGCGCTGAAGTATGCGTTAGTTGTTTCTATCCCGAAAAACGGCCTTTTCGGCCACCTTTGCCAATACTGTATTTTGATTTTTTATTTGTACTTATTATTTTTAATTTTGAGTGATCCCGTTCAAAAAAAATAGTGCGTCTTGAGTGCGGCTAACCATATTATGTGGCCGCTTGTAAAAAGAACAAAGTAATCTCTATATCATTGACCGAGTAATTCCTATAATACTGATTGAGTAATGCCTTTATAACATTGACGAAGTAACCCTTATAAAACTCACCGAATAACCTTTATAACACTCAGTGGCGGATCCAGTATTTCTGAGCCTGTGAGTCACCCTGAATTATTGATCCAACGCCACCGATGCCTACTACTCTGCCTAAGAGCCTCCCTAACATAAGGTGATTCCCACCCAACAACGTTCACCAATTCGCATGATGGCGGCCCTGTTCCCGGGCCTATCACGGGTGATGGGGGAGACCCAAGCCCTAAATTTAAGTCCAAATTCATCAAATCTTCCGATAGATCAGCCATCACTTCTCAAGCAAACACCAATTGGGGAAAATTATAAACCATACTCTAACTCCCTAATTGTATCAAAATTCACATTAACACTAACGTATTAGCTTTCATGATGGCTAGACACACGGTATAACAAGCCACATATAATAATTTGTCATAAGTCATGTAAAAGAAACATAAATCTAATCAATTCGTAAGAAATTGAATCAAACAAAAGTAAAAGTCACTTGAGAAGATCTAACACTTTAGGATATCTTTTGCATACTCGTATATCACTGAAAAATATCTTCTATCTAAAAATATGGTTCGCCGATTTTTGTAATAATTTGAAACTATTTTTGTAGATCATCTAATTGTATATACAAAATTAGTGTTGCAAGCATAACTTTTTTACCAACAACCTAATTCTCATGATTACACTAAGGGAAAAAGTACGAACTACTTTGTACTACTCCACTAAATAGATGAACTTCGTCAACTCCACCATAGGGAAATATACGAACGACAAACTACGCTCAAATTGTGTTGATTTAATAATAATTAACTTTAATTGAAAAATAAGCCTGAATTAAACTAAGAAAGAGGTCAAAAATAGTCTAATCCTGGAATAATTAGAGGATTTCTAACCTAAAGAGAAACTAAAAACCATAGGAGGAGGGGAGAGGTATTTCAGCCTTTTCTTTACTTAACAATCTTTTAATACTTACTAATCTCGATTGTACTCTTGTAAGAAAACTAGAGGTGGCGTATAAAAATTAAAATTCTTTTTAAAACTCGTTAAATAAAATAAAGAACAAAAAAGATGCTTTTATATATATATATATATAAGAAAGAATCTAATTAGTAAAGGTTGCTTTCTTGAATAATTTAAGTATAAAAAAATTATGATAAATATTTTATTTATATCGAATAATGCGAGTATTCTTAAAGAAGGGAGTTCAAAATGTCTAATTTATTTCATACTTATTTTCTATAATATTTTTTTTTTTTGAAGGATTCTATAATATTTATTTAATCTCTTATAAATATTATGAAACATTATTTAATTTTTACGTAATAGACACATGTATCGCGTGCATATATGACTAGTAGACTAATGGTACATCTATTATTGATCAGACACAAAAGTGATCATTTAGCTTTGTTGTTAAAATTTTGGTAATAATGAGAGTGAGGGATATCTCAAGTAGTTAAAGCTTTCCTCTCGGTTGCTGGTAATTATCCTGTGATCTCTTATCACTCGTCTTTTGTGGCTCTCTAAACAACAACAACAACAACAACAACAACAACAAAAAAAAAAAAAAAAAAAAAAAAATAATAATAAATTGGTAATAATTTAAAATGTCATTTATTATATTTCCTTTGTAGCTTATAATTTCTATATACAAAAATTACATTTGCCACTTTTGTAAACGCCTTGTTTCTCTCTATATATATCCTACCAAAGGCACCCTTAATTTCTCACTACCCTTATTTCACAACCAAAAACCTTATACTATACTCACAAAAACAAAAACAAAAAAAATCAAGCTTTTATCACCACAATGGCTCATGAAATAAATCATGAAAATGATGCTTTTCTATGGGAAACCCAATCATGGGTTAATTTGTCCAATGATACTGCTGACAATTCCAGTGGCGAGAAGGTGGTTTCGGTGCCAGCCGCGGAGCCAACGGGGGAGAGGAAACGGAGGCGAACCGCAGCGATGAAAGGGAAGGGAAAGGAAGGGGAAGGGCCATCGGAGCATGAGATTCACATATGGACTGAGAGGGAGAGAAGGAAGAAAATGAGAAGTATGTTCGCAACTCTTCACTCTTTGCTCCCTCAACTTAATGCTAAGGTAAAAACACAAATCCATACTAGTATTAAAATTTTGCATGTCATCGTCATTATTCAATTTGTTACCAATCAAAAGAAAAATAAATGACTAATAAATTGAGATAGAGTTGTTTAATTATTTTAATTTGTTGTCATTTTTTGGATGCTAATTTTTAAGGGATTTACTTTTTGTAATGTTGATTTATTGAGGGTTATTCTTTATTTTTATTTTTATTTTTTAATTTTTGGTGTAGAGAGAGTCATAAAAGCCAAATGATGTATGTTAGATTCAATTGATTTTAGACTTTGAACGAATACCACCCCCGAATATTTAATCAATTAAATAAATTTATTGTATTAGAGTATTTTAACGTTCTCAATATTTCAAAACGTATCAATGAAATTAACTTTTTAATTAATTAAATAATGGTAAACAAGGAAGCAAATCATCCCATTAATTAATTAATTGTCAATTTACTTATCATATCCCTTTATCTGTAAGTCTCGAGTTGATGGATAGATTAAACGTTTTTAATGACCATGATTTTGTATGTGTTTTTAAGATAAAACGTGTCAATGCTCATGGTAGTGCAATGAATATATGCATTTTGAAGTTAATTGTGTCGTAAATTATCATTATCAATTTTTTTTTTTTTTTTGATGCAAAATTTTCATTACCAATTTTAAGGTGGTATTGATTAAGATTGAGTACAAATAATGTTAAAAAAAAATAATAATAATAATAAGAATAAATTACCATAATTTATAAGGGGTTTGCATGGTACGCATGCATTTATCAGGAAACTTTTTTGAAAGTTTATTTTCATATAAATTATAATTTACACACAAATTTATTATCATTACTTTCACCATACTTCACTATACTTGAACCTTGTTAATTAATGGGTCGTTAATTAAAGCCTTGTGTTACAATAATTTAGTTTATAAGAAAATTAAATAAACTTGTGAATTCCCTTTAGTTTAAATAAAATAAAATAAAATAAAGAGCATCTAGCAAGAACAAATAATTTTGTTTTTTAAGAGCATCCATTCTAAACCAAATGCCAATGCCAGAAAAAAAAATAATAAAATTTGTGAAACTGAAATATAAAATCTGCACATCTAGCAAGAACAAGTAATTTTATTATTTTTTTTTTTGGTTGGGGGCTGGAAGCTTTATCCTAGAATTGCTCCAAAGGAAGTCCCAAGTAATAATTTTGTAAAAACTAATTATAATTATTCCTTTTGTTCCATGATTTAATTGTGAAAATAAAGTATACGACATTTCAAAAGAGCTAGAAAAAAAAAAAGTGTAGCCCTTCATTATAATCAACAACAAACAAGAAATTAAATTCTTATACGGAATATACATAATTAATTTGACATAATTCAATATATTAGAATAATTAATTGTTTAAATTTACATGAGCTCAGGCAGACAAAACAACCATAGTTGAAGAAGCAGTGAACTACGTCAAAACCCTACAAAACACCGTCGAAAGGCTTGAGATACAGAAGATAGAACGGAATCAAGGACTTCCACCCATGTCGACCTTCCCAATCGGCCCTCCGCTCCCAGCCACCTCGAGGCTAGCTACGCTCCCTACTAGGGAGGCGTTTATGGCTAACCAAGTTTCTTTGATGAACAACAACAACAGCAACAACAACTACAACTACTCGAATGGTTCATCCAGGCCTGTGAAAATAAAAACATGGACAGCTTCGAATGTGGTGCTGAGTATTTGTGGCAACATTGCGCAATATGCTGTTTACGCAACAAAGAAGCCAGTTCTGTTTACTACAATTTGCAGTGTTCTTGAGAAGTATGAGATGGAGATATTTGCGGCTAATATCTATACTGATGATGCTAATCGGAGCCATTTCATGTTTCAAACTCGTGTAAGTTTTCTTTCTTTTCTTTTTTTGCTTTTGCCCTATATTTATAATTTTTTTGTTAAAAGACTAACTCAACTAATAATTGTCTAATTGAGGTCCAAGAATCTATTTTATAATTCAATTTTATTATATTAACATGTAAAAATTTTAGATTGAGAATAGGAGTTATTCTAATAATTAAGCTCATTAAATGGTAGAAAGCATATAATAAATGTGTGTCACTTTTATTAATTATGAACGTAAAACATTTGGAAATTGTATGGCTTATGTAATTTATCTGTTGTCATTTCACAACATTTTATAAATTATATGCCATACTTGGAAATAATTTGCCTATAATAAACAATATTTTTTTGTTAAATTTTTTTTTGAACTAAAACTATTTGTTTAATTAATTTCAGCTAAGTTATACTCATATGCTTCCAAAAAAAAAAAAAAAATACGAGTACTAGCTTTACCAAAGGGCTAGAGTGTAATTAAAGTTTCTTAAATGAAATTTTTATTAGGTGGTAATTATATTTAATGATGGTATTGAACGCTGATCATGCTTAATACCTTAATTGCCTTCTTTTTTTAAGAAAATGAGCAAATTAAACGGGGTTAATTTATTAATTGCAACACATCTATCATGTGATACAATGTCCATCGATCACCTTTTCCAAATACCCATCCACCTAAACTCGAGTACTTTGCCTCGTTTTACTTACACTACTAATTGTCTAATTAAAAACTGATTCATTAAATTATTTATTTTAATTAGGCTACTGGTGATGATCAAGATCCAGAATCAATTATCGTGGAGAATATGTATAGGCAAGCTGCAATTGAGATAGTGTTCTGGACTTCATAAGGAGAGTTCTTCGTTGCTGATAACTAATTAATATTACATGGTTTTAATTGTATTCTCTTCATTAGCTGAAAAAAATGGGAAGAGTTTACAAGGCCAAGGCTTATTAGCTATTAGGGAATGCATGTATTATGTACATGTTACATATACAAACATCCATAGAGTTTTTATTGTTATTTTTTTTTAAGAAGTTTGTTGAGATAATTTTTTTTTTAAGTTTCTGTAAGTTTGAATTGCAGTTTTTTTTTAATCAAAACTTGAACTAATGCTTTCACTATTATTATACTTCGTATATTATTATACTCTTCCATTTATGTGAATTTCTTCACAAAAGAAAATTGATAGAATATATAAACCGATCTTGGGCTTTAACCATCATCTTAAGTTTTTGGTTGAGATGATCCTTTAACATGGTATCAAGAGTCAACGTGACACAAATTAAGGTCACGGGTTTGAAACTCATCCACCCCTCCTTTCAAATTGGAATATTAAACACTGGGTATGGTAGGGTCCATGCTACATTCACACTTCAAGCCCAATAGGCCCTCATGCATGTGAGGGGACGTAATAGAGTATATATATAAACCGATCTTGGGCTCCAACCATCAACTTAAGATTTTGGTTGAGAGGGTCCTTTAACAAAAACAAATTCAAGACATATGATACAAGGTATGTATTCGATCTCTACATTACATAGTATAGATATTAAATACATCCCTCGAGCTCTTTTCTATATGAATTTCTTTAGAAGGTTCCTTATACTTTTGCTTCACTCTTCTCTTCGTCTTAAATTACTTGTTTTATACAGAATTTAATTTTAAACCAAGATGATGTGTCAAGGGATTAGTGGTTTTCTCATTTTCTCATTTCTCATTCTAGCAATTCCCTATACATATATACGCAATTAATAAACGGTATCTCATAAAGAGACGAAACTAACAACGAACTGCCGTAATCAAACTAAAGTAAAGATTTCGACATGTATTTAGCCAGGAACATTAGCATGTACAAAGCGGACTGCACACGAAACTTTAAATACACGCCTTTTCTCCAGAGGAACCAGCTTTGTGCGAATCAGCGGCCACCAAAATAGCAGAATCGTTAGGCGTTGGTATGTAGTGGATTGAACCTTTAATTCATTTCTCTCAAGACGGGATGGAACCACAGCCCTTTTCGTGGGAATCCTGCTTACACTGAAACCAGATGCCATAAGGAGTGAAAGAGAGGTTGTAATAGCTAAAGCTATGCTTTTGGAGGAGCTGGATGACATTCTTTTAAGGGAATACATGGAGATAGGCCAAGCCGATTAGACGGAATTAGTGGTTTAGGTCTTACCCTGGGATTCGACATGCCTTTTTTTCTTTTCGAACGGGTAGGGATCGGAACCTGAAGTCTGGCAGAAAATAAATCCGAATCATAGTTAGCAGTTGAATAGAACTGGTGTCGTAGCGAGATCAAAAACTTGCACCCTTTGAAAGTGAAAGTAGCCTTTCAAACCTATCCTTCCTCTAGCAAAATCTCACCTGTGGGTTTGACTCTCTAAATTCACCAGAGGAGCAACAACAGGGACACTTGTTCGACGACCCCGTCTCTTATATATATATGTATATGTATATGTGTATATGTATGTATGTATCCCAAAGAACAATCTAAATTCTTAAAAGCCGATATTGTGAAAGTTTGTATTATGACAAAGTTAAGAAGACCCACATGATTATAAATTTTACGCTATGTACAAATGATATATTGTCAATATATGGTTAAAGAGAATTATGTGAATTTGTCAAAAATAAAAACATTGAAATATGCGAAGTATATTTAACAAACGGATGAAGAAATAATTCAAATCTCTAAGGTATGGTTCATATGGGAAATTTAATGCGACTCATCTTAAAGTATCAAACTTTTTTTCTTTTTTTTTTTTTTTTTTTTGACAAGAAGAAAAGGGGATTTCATTAATAAAATATAGTCAAATGGCAATTACATATAATTCCTAAGAAATCAAGAATTTCAACACAAGTACACACCTTAAAACTAAATACATTGTAGATTTGAATAACAATCGCCTTAATAAAAAACTTCATTTGAAACAATACAATCTGTGAGTTCGCACTGATTCGGCTTGAAATCCACTTATGCGTAGTCGTCTGAGTGAAAATACTCTTGTGGTCCTCCGTATTCTTGTAGAGATTATGAAACTCTAGATTTTCAATTTTTGCCATGCAAACATAAAAAGAAAATAAACTCAAGAGAAAAATCATTATCTCAAGGATGAGATTTATTTATTGAAAGCAATTAAAGGTTTTTGGAGGCTTACCACCGGTAAGAACACTAATGGAATCCCCTACAAAGATTCACAACTAATACCAAGAGGAAAGAGATGATAAAGATGGAGAGAAAAGGGAGAAGGGAGAAAGAAAACCTTCAAAAAAAAAAAAAAAAAAAAAAAAAAAAAAAAAAAAAAAAAAACTAGCAATGGAGGCTAGGAAAACCCTCCTAAGGGAGAAACCCTGGAGTCTGGAGGGAACAAAAAAAAACCATATTAAAGTATCAAACTAAGTGAGATGTATTTTAGAATTCTGTTTATATACATCAGCCATTTTTAAAAACAAAAAATTTTAGGGTATTTTAAAAAAATAAAATGTTATGTAGACATCACTACCTCATCACTTGAATCCAAATGTTGGAGTTAATAAATAAATAAATTCACTCTCCAACAAAATCAAACAAGTGGAAATATAAAAAAAAATAAAAAAAAGCCTCCAAACGCATATCAATTTATTTTCATACCTAGCTAATTTCAAATTCATACACAATTAATAATGCCCCCAAAATTTAACCCTAGGAGTAGACGAAATAATGTACATACAACTTTTTACCTTGCCACTAAAAATAACAAAAAATAACCCGACTTAACTAGAAGGGGCTTGATGCCAAGCTAGTTAACATGACTCGACTTAACCCGAAAGATGACCCGAAGTCACTTTTCTTTTCTTTGTTTTTGTTTTTTTTTTTTTTTCGTTTTTTTTTTTTTGGCAGCTTCTACTCGTCACTTGACATATATATGACTCGATACTTCCATAGTGTACCTTCAACTCCGCGCACACAAATTTCTGCGGCGGTCTTTCCTATCTTTGCTGTTTCCTGCACTCGGTATTGTCACTCTTTTCTTCCTTAATTTCGAAAGTTCTAAACTTTTTCTGCTTTATTTCGAAATATCAAAACCTTTTCTGCTTAATTTCATGCCAATCTAAGTTTTTTTTCTAATTTCAATTTCAATTTCTTCTCAATGGACTGTAAAGGGAAATTTCCTGTTTCTCATATTGAGAAACGAAATTTGTTTCTAATCGCTGCATTTTCGTGAATAAATCAACAACTTTTTCATCATTGTGGGCTCTACAATTGAATAAAGTTATTGGTTTATTTACGAAAATACCATGTGAATGTGAGAATCAAATTTTGTTACTCAGTATGAGAAAGTGGGGCATCCCCGTTTTTAAAATGTCCGAAGAAAATTGTCACGGAATATAGTATGCTTGTATTTACTCCATAGAATATTGATTTGAGCAAATTGCTACTTTAAATAGTTTTGGGAATCATGTTGAATTTTTTACATAGGGCTGCGGTGACTAGTAACTCTGAGTGGAGTAAGTGTATTAATCCTGTTAATTAACATTAGTGTTGGCCAAAATGCAAGTGAAAATTTACATTGCTTTTTTTTGTTTATTTTCTTGATAATCATGAGAATTCTTATACTGTAGTAAGGTACTAATATGTTAAATTGTTAATCATTGATAGATGGAGTTTTGTTTGTAAGTAAGATCTAGGGTGCATTCTGTTCGCTTTCAAAAAGATAAGTATATATAGTGTATAAATTCTTGAATCATCTCATATTACCAGAGGCATTACCTAATTTTGGTTTCTACCTACATTTTTATGTGGAGCATGAATGATTAATTAATGGGTTTTGGAGATCAAATGGGGTTGTGATTGTGCTATGAAGTCGACTTTTAACAACATTACAAAGTCAGGTGATGGTTTAACAACAACACAGGATGGGATCAATAGTTGCACCCTTCCTCACTTGAAGAAATTGGATGGTCCATTCCGATCTAGCAGCCATGTTGATTATGAGTATTCATTTGCGTTATACATCATCAAAAACGCCATAAATCTTGGAAAATTTTTGTGTAATATTAGTGCCTCCGAGTTAAAGTTTCATGAAATAGCAGATTTGTCTAAGGAACAACAAATTGGTGCAGCTAAAAAATTGGCCAAGGTAATTCCATCCAGAGTCGATGTAATGATCATCTAATCATAGTTAGCCCTTTCGCGTTGCTTTTAATCATTGAAACTCTCATCTGTTAAAAACTTAGTGTTGATGTTGTAAAAGTATTGCTCTTTAGTTTTTTTTAGTGGATAGCTTACTGGGAAATTCTCCTTTCACAGGTTTCAAATAAAGTTCTACTAATTTTTTTTGTAGGAAGTACTACTCTTTGGTTTAATTGTGAAATCAAATTTGGATACTTTCCTAATACCGTAAGTAATGCAGAAGCTGACTTTCCTCCTTGCGATCTTATACAAGATTGCTGTTAGTATTCGAGATTGAAAGGTACTAAGGTGTACTATTAGTTGGTTTTACTAGCTAGTTTTTTATATTTTAAAATTAAAATGTAAAAATTCGAATATAATGGCAATTTATTTGGATAAGGGCCTCAACAACTTGATCCGAGGATGGCTTAAATATAATGGCTGTCAACAAGTTTACAAACATATTTTACGAGCTCAAGTAAATCAACTTGTTGTATAAAATGTAGGCATGAGCTGGAATGTTGATGCAAAGCTTATAATATTATGATCGGCCGTACTTACAGGGTGGTGAATTTATTTATGGGTCAACTTCTTGGCTCCTGCATTCTTGAGTTTGCAAGGCTAGTTAGCGCACATGTAAAATTTGCGCGCTATAAGATCTGGCGATCGGAAGCTAGAAACAGGAGGAGATT